TGGTAAGTGGGCAAGGACCATATTCTTCCATGATATTAATGGAGAAGGAGCAAGGTCTGGGATGAAGGTTGGGTGTGGAAGGGAGTTCTGGATAGGGGATTGGGATGCTGGAGGGGGCCTGGGTACAGGAGAGGATTCTGACCTGGATGAGAGGTATATGAGGGGTTCCAGGGTCTGCGAGAGGATTTTGACCTGGATTAGGGGTGCAGGGGTTTGGGTTGTGACCTAGGGCAGGAGGGGGATTGGGGTGTAGGGTCTGGGCGGAGGTATGGATGCAGGAGAGGATTCTGACCTGTAGAAGGGGGTGCAGGGTTTGGGAGGGCATTATGGCCTGGGACAGAGGTTGGGGTGGGGTACAGAGGGGTTTGGTTTGTGACGAGGTGCAGGAGAGGGTAAGGTGCCAGGTGCAGGCTCTGGCTGAGAGGCACTTACCTTAGACTGCTCTTGGCCAGCAGCCCAGCAAGAACCTGAGGCAGGTTCCTTACCTGCTGCTCAAAGCATCTGGCTGCAGGGGCCATGTGCTCTCTGCGCACCATGCACCCCCTGGAACTGCCTGTGCATTACATGGGCCATGAGCATTGCCCAGGCAGTTCCCATTGGCCAGTTTCTGGTCAATAAGAACCATGATATTGTGAAGGGGGGGTGGGGGAGTGCACAAAGCTCCCACTACACCCTCTTGGGACATGCGGCGCACAGAGAGCATGTGGCCCCCACAGCCGGACAATTTGAGTGGAGTGCGAGGAAGCGGTAGGCAGGGAGCCTGCCCGAGGCTCCCTCTGGGTTGCAGGACAGTCGCCGGGCAGACCAAGTGGTTTGGTTGGCCAGATGCAGCCCATAGGCCATATTTTGCCTGGGTTAGTCAGTAAACCCACAGATGGGGCAGGGCTAGAGATTAGAGTCACAACATACTAGATGAATATGCCTGTGGTCTTGGCCCATCAATGTTTACTGACTAGTTACATAATTTTCAGTCTCCTTCCCTAGCATTCCACTTTCTGGGGCTTTTCTCTAAAATGTATGTATTTACAAGTAGCACTACAAAACTCTGGTTCGTTACACTTTTGGTTCTTTTTAATCCATTTAAAAACATTGTTTTGTCCAAGTAATACTTCCTGTAAGTGTTATCGCATGTAATATTTGGGGTATCCAACCACAGTTGCAGAAGTTTTGAGGGTCTCCCTTCTTAAACTGTCATGTTCACAGAGATTGCAGTCTTGAAGGGCAGGTTATGAAGCTTAGCAGGCTGTTACTGTTGCTAGGCAGCTCTTGAAATGTGGACTTTTTAATCATCAGCACTGAATGACTGTTTTTTCTTAGTCACCCTCCCACATTAGCATGTCTCTAATAGAAGGTTTTCTACATGGGAGCAGGGCTGTGTATAATTTGGTTTTTGCTTTTGTGTGATACATTCCTCAAATGACATTTCTGAACATTTTTATTTAGCTCCTGGAAATCCTGTTTGTGTAGATCTAAGGAAACGTTTGGAGGAAAGATCATTCTTCTTGTAATGTCTTGTTTAGCCGAAAGGGGAATGCTGTATGTCTTTTAGGGATGTGATCGTGTAGCCAGTAGGGATATTAAATTTCAATTCATAAGCTAGAAACACCAACCAATATATTTTTTTTTTCATGAACACCACCAAGGATTTTTTTTTGGGGGGGGGGGGAGGTAGAAGTGCGCAGTGAGGACCCAGCGTGAGTGGGTTAGTTGATAATGGGGGGAGGTGCAGCGGGGAACCCAGCGCAAGCGGGGACTACTTTAGTCCCCACTCACGCTGGGTCCTCACTGCGCACTTCTACCTCCCCCCCCCCCCAAAAAAAAATCCTTGGGGGTGTTCATAAAAAAAAAAATATTGGTTGGTGTTTCTCGGTCTTAAAAAGTTTAAGAAACACTGTTTTACAGTATGATGTAAAAATGTCTCTTGTAAGCTTTTGTAAATCTAGATTAGAGAGACTTGTTTTAGGTTTGCAGATTGGATCCTGTCAATGAAATGTCTCTTCTGCGCTAACTGAAATTGTAGCTGCAGGATTTTCAGGGCTTGTGACCGTTACACAGTATTATTTTTTATGATCATCTCGCATTCTGTCACCTGTGATTTCAGTTGTGTTGTGTGTATTTATGTAGGACTCTCTTCCTTCTGTTGAGAGCAAAAATCCTATGCTAAACCCATTGCTATTAGAGAGAGACCTGCAGTTGATCCTTGTTGAAAAACTTCCATCCAAATTGGCAGACATGTTTAAGAACCCACCAGTTATTTTTAAGTTGGTGGGAGTTGATGGATCTCATCTTGTAACAGGATCTTATAATTTTTCAAGATAAGGTTTAATATGATCTCTGCCTCTGGATGAACTGGATTATAGGACAACAGTTGCTGGGGAAGAGCTTTGCTGAATAGAGGCCTTGAATGGACGTTCTCATACATTTGGATCATATAGTCTAGTAGGACTGTCTTACACTAGACTTCAGCCATGAAGCTAGCAATGGGATGGTTTTGATTAAAGACCTGTTTGTTGAAAGTTGGGATTTTAAGGATGGCAACCTGTAAAATGGATATTTTATAGCAACATGGTTATCTTTACTATACAGGCAGTCCCCGGGTTACATGGATCCGACTTACATCGGATCCCTACTTACAAACAGGGTGAGGCAACCCCGCACTAGCTGCTTCCCCCCAGCAGACCAGGGAGACGTGAAGCTAGCGCCCCCCCTCCCCCAGCAGACCAGGGAGACGCGGAGCGGCTTTTCTCAGCAGACACCTCAGCTTGAGAATAAAGGACTGAGGGAAGTGAGGTGTGGGAGAATAAAACTGAGCTCTGGAGAAATGTTTGGCTAGAGTTTCCCCTACAATATGTACCAGTTCCGACTTACATACAAATTCAACTTAAGAACAAACCTACAGTCCCTATCTTGTACTTAACCCGGGGACTGCCTGTATATTTGTGTGGCAACAAAGAATTCCTGTTAGTACTTGATATGGATTGCAAGCACCCAGCTATGAACTATGCTGTAATTACAGAAGATGACAACCCTCTGGTATGAACAGAGGAAATTACTCTACTTGAGACTCTCAAACCTTTAGCTCTAATATCCTAGAATGCAGTTTCCCTGCTGAAAACCGAGGTGAAAAAATTAATTTTCAGTCTCAAAATCAAAGCTTGATGCCTCCAGCTAGCCCAGAAGTTATTCCTACAATTCCAAAGCTGCTGTGATGTTAAAATTTAAAAAAAAAGGGAAAAGATTTAAACCAAGAACTAGGAATGTAGAAATAAGGCAACATGATTCGCTCTATGGTAGGAAAGTAATACTGCTGCCAAATTGACAGTGTTTGCAAATGCTGCTGTTCTGGCATGACAGTGCCGGAGAGAGGGACTTATTTCAGAACATATGGGTAATAATTGAGTAGAGCCCTGTGCATGACTGTTTTTAATCCCGCTTCCACCCTGCAATACCCACTGCTGCCCCCAACAACTTCTGCTGCTCAGGCCGTGGGTTCTGAGGGACCTGCACGGTCCCAGTTCTTCTGCAGGACTCTGCACAAGTCACACGGACAGCTCTAATTCAGGAGGAGGAGGGAAGTAATGTAGTAGATTTATAGAGATTTCAGGGGGTACAACCACATCTGCTGCTGAATCCCTGGTAGTACTACAGATTGAACTTCCCTTGTCCGGCACACTCTCTGGTCTGGCAACATCCATGGTCCAGCCTGATCTTATTGTGGATGTGGTCAAGTTTCCCTGCAGTTCCATAAGGTTTGTTTGCAGCCACCAGTCTTGGCTCTGTGTTCTGTGCTGTTATTTAGCTCTAATTTGCTCCTAAATGTCTTCTGAGTGCCCAGCGAGGCATGAAAGTGCTGGTAAGATACTGGATAATATTGACCTCTTGTGGTTTGCCAAAATCCCTGGTGCGGCACTGCTCGGGTCCCTAGGGTGCCAGACTAGAGAGGTTCGGCCTGTACTGGGTTCTCTAGTAAAGGAAGTCTCTGGATATAATTAGCATCTTGTTGCCCATTTACCAACTGTAGTAAGGTGTGCACTGACTGCCACATGGCAGTTCCAATGCGTTCTCAATGAGGACAGTGATTTTCAGAACTGGGAGGAAATCTGTTGTTCCAGACAATTCTATACTGAATGCAAATGTTTCAGAATAGCAAGGAAATTTGGCAAGAGACCTGAAGTTTACTGTGCATCTCCTCCACATGGAACCCTAAGACACACGTGTTTATGTGGGAGGTAATGATCCGATTATGGAAGTCCAGAGAGCAGTGGCATTGTTGGATAGTGGTGTTTTGATAAGCCCCATGCAGCTTGCTCAGTTTCCATCTGAGTTTCGTTTCTACATAAGGAGAAATGTACTCCTGTTGAGGTTTCCTAGCTGAGGGAGGGCAACAATTGGAGATGTTCCCATTCCCCAGATAAGAAGAGAACCTGTTCTGGTTTGGCTGTTTCCCCAGCCCAGATCCACCCGGGATGGTTGTATTGATTTCTGCAGTGGTAAATTTTAACTTGTAATAAAGTTTATGTTTATGACTATAATATAAAACAAACCACTCTTCCTGGTGATGGAAAAATTGCCCTAACTGTCCTAGTTACAGACAGTTAAACAGAAACCATAGCTTTTTTAAATTGATTATTTGTAATGCTTTTATTTGTTTAAAAAAATTGATATGCAGACAAACTATATGGGTGCATGTGACCAAATGTATTTCATGGGTGACGCAAAGGATATTTATCATTAGATGCTGAACCATAACAGCAGGATGCCAATTTCTTTGAGGTTGGATTGATATTTCTGATGTGTTGTGTATCTTACTTATTAACAATACGTTATTTGGACCTCTTTATTGGGTTGTGGTTATTGTTAAACTGGCTAAGGATCCTCTTACAGGACACGAGAATAATTGTGTTTTATCTCTTCGCTCCATTTTTGCATCTGTGACATATTGTATGCTGTTTGCTGTGCTCCCTGTATTACGTCTGTCTGTGTCCTCTCCATCTGCCTAGAAGCCTATGGTAAGAATCCTTGCTCATTACATGTACTAACACACTTAGCCAGAGTTCTGTCTCTTTACCTGAATCTCATCATTTTAGGGATGTAAAATCCTGTTCAGTCATTTAACCTGTTAATTTAATCAGTTAACCAATTAAATGGGGGCAAGAGGAGGGGCTGCTGTGCAGGGCTCCCCCACAGCCAGGTTGGAAGGGTCCCTTCCTGTGGCAGGCCCTGTGGGACTGAAACAGCCCCCTGTCTGTGGCTGCTCCAGCCCTAACATCCCTACATCATTTCACCCACAAAGAAGTTAAGCTCCAACACCAAACTATCAGTAAAGGTAAAAGCTGAGGGCTCTGATAATGCTTGGAGTGAATGTTACATGGAGGTAATAGGTATAAGGCCAGATTTGGGGTGAGGAGGGAAAAAGAGGGCAAAGTTTAGATAGGGAAATGTGGTGATGTCAGGATATGAATAAGACCCGAAATGGCTATTGATATCACTAAGCAATTGCTGCTAGGTAGTGTTTAGGGAAGCCAAAAAATGGGGCTGGGGAGGAAATCAGGTAGCAGCTCCAACAGCTGATAGCCAGAGGTGATCGCTCCTTGAATGTCGGTTCCAAAAGGATGTGAAGCTGAGAGAAAAGAGTAAGATGTCTGTGTGTAAGAATTGGGTAATCTTACCAAGGTAATTGAGAAAGGAACTGCCTTTAAAAAAAAAAAATCGGGGGGAATGTAATGCTCTAGAGTCCTAGAGAGAGGTTGGGCAAAAACCTTTGAAATTGAATCAGAAAAGAAATGTATAGCCCCTACCAGATAGTGGGAATGCATAAAGTAGGTAGTGACTGGCAGATGATTAAAGACTTCCTAAAGTGAGAATTAGGACTGGTGAGAAGTGAATTAAATATGAAAGACAAGGTTAAGGAAGCTGGAAAGGTTCCACCTCTATTTTATTCCTCTCGCCTCATGAGGTATAATTTCTAGGATGAGGTAATACTTGGAAGTCAGAAAACAACCCCCAACAGAGGCTGCACAACCAAGTTATACAATATAAAATACGGTTTATTTGGACTCCAAATTATTTCCTCACAGAGCAAAGAGAAGTGCACAAAAAACTAGACTGAACAGAAGCTTATTTTGTGGTAATAGTTGAAATGGTTTCCAAGCCTAAAACATAGATGTATGCATTATAATCCTCAAACTTAAGTTGTCTGAGAAATGCAAACCTAGCAGCAAGCATAAAAAAAGGTTGTAAGATCTTTGGATTTGATTTCAGCACCAGAATATAAACATGTACGCCGGAGAGACTGCATCTTCCTCCTCCTCCCGCTGAGGAATCTCACTTTGGTTCTGGGCAGCTAATCATTGTGAAAGTGTTTCCAGACTTGAGACATTCTCACAGGAAAATATTGTGGAGAAAGTGGTTTTAGTAACATCAAAACAAATTGGTGCATGTTAGTCCTCATGCAGTCTTTACCTTCTATATGACCACTAAGCAACAAACATCTTTGGTACTAAAAGTTATCCAAACAGGTAGACACTAAGGGTGCGTCTACACTGCACTGTAACTCGAAATAAGATACGCAACTTGAGCTACGCAAGTTGTGTATCTTATTTCAATGCTGTTTCAAAATAGCTTATTTTGTCATTTGGTGCTGTCCTCAGTGCCAAATTTCAAAATAAAGCGCTATTCTGAAATGTCCCTTACTCCTCGTCAGAACGAGGTTTACAGGGACGTTAGAATAGCGATTTTCTGTGAAAACCTGGGACAGCTATTTCGGGATACTCTGGTATCCCGAAATAGCGTTGCAGTATAGACGTAATCTAAGAAAAAATGGGAGAATGAGGGAAGCCTGACCCATTTTTATAAACTGAAGTACTTATTGTGGAGAAGAAGAGAATTCTAACTTTTGAAGTCTTGTTGTAATGCCACTTAATTTGCTAAGGTTCAGTAATGAAGGGATGACACACAAGGAGGTAAAGCACACTACAGCCCACACTATATAACGGAAAAATAGGAATAATAAATCCCAAAAGACTGAAATCTAACACATAGACCAGAATATGAAGTTCCTACAAGCTGCTGTATATTGGAGATGATGGGGGAAAGAATTCTTGTGATGGGTTTGGGTAAAGTGAAAGCACCTGGAATAGACTATTATGAACCAATCTTTTGAGTTTCAGTTTCTCTGAGTTTGTTGTTCTGACCAGACTCCTCATCAGTACATGAGGAGAATGGGAAGCTCTTTTCCTGAATGAAAGATATCTGCACCAGATCAGAGCCCATCAAATCTTTGCAAAAAGTCGGTGTCAAAGCATCTCTAGGTCTCCTTCTGCTCAACTGCCTTCCAGATACGGGGTATCAGACCCTCTTACCAATCTGTGTTAAAAGCTGCCTTTCCTGTGGGTGAAAACAATCTTGATAATGGGTCCCTTTTGTTTGTGGTGGCTCTAGAACAGGAGGGATTCAACAATGTAAAACTCCTTAATGACATGTCAGTCTAAGGGAGCCTGCCAGAGTGGGAGGTATAGAAAACATCTTGGGCCAGATTCTCAGCTAGTGTCAGTCAGGTTAGCTCTATTGAAGTCAGTGGAGCTGTGCTGACCTCTATCAGCTTAGGATCTGGTCTGTACAGTGCAAGTAGCTTTTCAGTTGGTGCTTGTCTGTGCTATGCAACTTTAATAGAATACAGGGCAGCTTCTGCTGCATATGATGGACTGCTTTGCATGCTTAAATTCTTTAAAACTTTGCAGCAGAGAAATGCCAAAACCCAACTTGACCCATAGTCTTAAAGGTCTGTGCGTACTCACATGGTACATAGAAACACTCAGGCTCTATAGCAGATCTGGACAAATAGCAGCCTAGAGGGGATGTGGACTACTGTCTTGTATCAGTAGTGCCTCTTGCAGAAACTGTTCCATGATTCAGCTCTGGTGTGTGGTGATGTGGCCCTGAGTTAGTCTCTTTCACGCGCTGTGTATTCAGTGGCTCAGGAGGGATGATATCCTATCCTCTTTCAGCTCTCCTCAGTCTAGGAACTTACATCAATGCGATTACAATCTGTCGCGGTCTAGGAGAAAGGTGATAGCCCTCTTACTGGGAAACCCAGGGACATTCCGTTGATGCAAGTTGACATCCACGGGGAGTTATACAGTTTTTGGAGACTCTTGTTGTCTTGGAGCCATGCTTGTCAGTTGTCACTGGGAAGCCATCCTGTGTAAGTGAATGTCATGTCTGCCAATAGTTAAGTCTGAAATAAAACCAAATATTTAGAGTGGCATGTCTGTTTAGATGCATTTGTATGAATTCCTGACCCAAGCCAATGAATTAGGATTCATAGTAAGAAAATGAATACGCCATTTGGAGGCTGTGGCACAGCCGGGAGGTCTGTTGGGAGTGCATTTTCCCTCTCCTCTCTTTCCCATGTTTGCCCAATGTATAGACTTCATTTTCTGCATTGTTGGTAAGCGTGTGGTTTTTCAAAATCTGCTGGCTTTCTGGAGATGGCGCTTGGGGGGAATGATACCATCTAGAAAACTCCTTGACTAGCTTCTTTTATGCTGAGATTTTGTCTATGCAGGGAAATACACTAGCGCAGCTGAATTGCCCCTGTATATCTCCCCGGGTATGTCTAGACTACATGGCTGCGTCAACGCAGCCATGTAGATAAGTTTACTAGACATAGCAAAATGAAGTGGCGATTTAAATAATCGCCGCTTCATTTACATAAAAATGGCCACCGTACTGTGCTGATGATCAGCTGATCAGCACAGCGGGGCAGTCTAGACACGCCACGGTCGACTAGGGAAGCCTTTGTCGACTGCTCCAGTATGCCTCATTTCACGTTTAATGAGGAGTACCGGAGCGGTCAACAAAGGCTTCCCTTGTCAACCGTGGCATGTGTAGACTGCCGCTGTGCCGATCAGCTGATCGTCGGCACAGTGTGGCGGACATTTTTATGTAAATGAAGCAGCGATTATTTAAATCGCCGCTTAATTTTGCTATGTCTAGTAAACTCATCTACATGGCTCCGTCGACGGAGCCATGTAGTCTAGACATACCCTCTGCGTAGACACTTCAGTTTCAGAGTGTGTGTGTGTGTGGTGTGTGTGTGTTTGTTTTCTGGTTTCACTTAATCTGTTTCCAGAGCAACATACGCAAAACTGGAAAAACTCACGCTTACTCCAGAATAACAGTGTCTATGCAGGGGGCTCTATAGGGAAAAACTGTAACAGTATAATTATAATGGTAAATTCCTAGTGTAGGCAACTCCAAAGTGTGATTCTCTTGTTACTAAATGCTTGTGTAAAACATTTGTTTCTTCCCCAAACTTTGTTTTTCATAGTGCATGGTAAGTGTTAGCTTTATATTCTGGGTATTTGGACTGGTACTACAAAAGGAGTAGTTTTGTTCTGGTGTATGAATGTATATTCTTTTTGATGCTCTTTGTGGCTCCCTTGCTCTGATAGGCCTCTCTGCAGAAATACGTTTTAAGATGATTTTGCCTTGAACCTTTGCTGTTTAATTCATCCCTTTTTAGTCCCACATTTTAAGTGTAGAGCTTCTCTTGTTTTCTTTATATTCTTCCTTTAAATCTGGCTGTGTGCAATACATCCCAGATCTCTCCATAATGTGTGTAAAAGCCAACTTGATTAATGTAGCTCATGCGTTAATCTCTTAATTCTTATCACAATCATGCAGGGGCACAGGGAGAAACAACACTGTTCATGATGGAGCATTTTCAGTGTAGTGGTTTAAAGGTGTTAACTGATTAGACAGATTTTCAAATAAGCTTGGGGCTTGGAAAAAAGTCTGAGACTCACCGAAAGGTTTACTTAAATATGCCAGCCTTTCTTTGAGAAGCTCTCGTGCTCCCACTGGGACTAGGATCAGAAGAGTTTGAGGAATGGATATTGGGACAAGGGACCAAGATGGGGGAAGACAGGACAGGCACAGGGATAGAATCAAGGAACTGAGGCAGAAGAGGGTGGGGAGTCAAGATTGTGAGAGGAACAATTTAAGT